TATTTGCATTTTACATGTAGTTAGTACGTCACATGTAGTTTATTTCATATAGCGTAACAATATTGTCAGTTATCTGAAATTTACATAAAAAAGATAATTTCAATTTTAGTTTAGATTTTTTTGGACAATTTCTGAAGTTTTACATTTGTGATTGATTTACTACATTAAGTAGTGAGTATTTACTATTTTATATTACTAAGAAATTGACTTTTATAAATTGTTATTCTCTTATTAAATAAAGTTCACCAATATTTTGCAAAAAATTCGTAACAACGAGCACTTTTCTTATATCTTAACAAATATGTTATTAGGTCATACTGTTCTTTCATGTAGGTTATTATTGCATTGTTTTAATAAGTGACAAAAAGTGATTACAGATCCGCACTTAGAGCATTCTTTGTTTTTGGTATTTTCAACAAAAGGTTTTGGCCCGGTCACCGGGGGTGCTTGAAGATCCGGATCAAACCAGAATTTATCGAAATGTAGAGGTGAACTTTTCAAAGAGCAAATTCGAGATTTCCTGAGATCAGATCGATTTCCCGGCTCAGCAAAACATCTCGGGGAAGTCTGGACAGATCTGCGCATCGCAGTGAGCTCTACACAGATCTGTCGAATGATATTTGGGTTATGAAGGCTACGCTCGCAGCCATTCACTTCCGAGTACAGGGTCTGTAAATTTCCTACTAGAACCGCGAAAAGAACTTAGTGAAACGATAGAAGCGCTAGTGTTGATCAGTGCGCCTTTGCAAAGCGTTCGCGAACTTTGATGATACAATTTAGCGCATTAGTGAAAGAAACATAAAAGTTTGTTAACATACTTATAAAATTCGTGTTCTTGATGAATGTCACCGTTTTCTTGACCGTCAGACATCTTTCCTGCAACGCTTCATTGAGTCCAGTCCATTCAAGACTACCAAGACGACAGTGACTAGCAAACTGCCCGTCATTTAGCTGACGTGCTGTAAAACGGGGCTCTATTTCTCGAGAGGGAAGGCAGCTTCTTGCCTGAAACGTCAAAGATATTCCACTCAGAGACTTTTTGGGCAAGGGAAGTCGGTCTCCCGTATAATCTATTCAACATTCTCTTCAATCTTTCTTACTGTTGGTAATTCTGAGCGTCTCCGCGATTGCGCAATTGTCACGTTGATGATGCCACAGCAGATGTCACGATGTTTGATGCTACTAACGCTGTGTAGCAAGACATATGGAGGACATTGAAAATCGGGCCCGCAATCATAGAACGCGATGATTTATTATTGAGAGTGCCGTTTTGATGGCAGAGTCTGCTTTTTCAAGTTCTTGAAGAAAGTATTGTAGTTTAATGTATCATGATTTTGAACTCTACATTTTTTGCAAAAATCAAAAGCCTCATTCGAGTGAAAAAGAAAGCACGAAATTCAATACTAGCGTGACCTTTTTCAAGCAGATCATATTCTAATAGGCGTGAAATACAATTAAAATTTCAACGACCTTCTCCAAAATTATTATTATAAGAATATTGTGTTGATCGTTTTGGTGTTCTTAGTGCATATATACGGTTTATATATATATATATATATACATATATATATGTATATATATACATATATATATACATATATATATATATATATATATATATATATACATATATATATACATATATATATATATACATACATACTCATATACTATTTTGTGTAAGTAATGTGATGCAAACATTATTTTTATGACCTCTACGAAATGAAAACCTGTGAACAGGCACTGATTCTAGGTGAATAGATTCTAAATTGCATTCTCATTTGTGACAACTTGGCCTGCCGTTTCTCCTGCAGCGATGCTGAGCAGATGGCCGTTTGTACTGTCCATCGTGGTCCTGGCGTGCCTATGGCCGCCGTGGCAATGCCGGGCATGGCGTGGGAAGACGAATACTGGCGCGACTAGGTAAGGAAGGGTATTAAACTGTAGTACATCACATACCTTCTCGCATTGTTTGTAACGGTTACCCGTCGAGTACTTCGAACTTGATTCCAAACGTTTTCATGGGCACAAGCGGGTTGCTGTACTCGAGGTTCACCTCATTAACCCAGCTCTTGTGTCGCGAGTGTTTCCAACTCGCAAATGTTATCCTTACCCCGGTTTACGGGTTTGTTGGGCAATCATTACATTGTCAAGATGGTCTGATTGTCCATTGTCCTAGATGTGCTCAAAGAATTCATGTCTTTAATTATTTGAAAATTCAAAAGTTTTAATGAAAATGGAACTTGTATAATGTATTTCAATATATTTTGCACCACATGTTCAAAAATGTGAAGAGAAAAAATAACGCAGAAAGCAATGTTTACATATTTATGAAAATTGTCACAATTTTACTCCAAGTTACCCGGAGATTACCAATAGTTTTAAAAATTAAACCTGTTCTTAAAGAGGTCAAATATAGAAGAACAGAATTCCATAAAAATGTCTATCTCACTTTAATGTTGAAAGTTTGACACAAATTCGGAAAAAAAAATTGCAATTTTCAAAATTTCAAAGTTTTAATAAAAATCTAAGATGTCATTTTTAGAAGCGTACAATGCTACTCTTGTAAAAAAATGATCAAAATTTAGAATTATTTGAAAAATGTCCCAGAGTTTCTCTGTGAACTATAGCCAGAAAATTAAAAGAACATTTTCATATTCGAAGGACATAGAGTTTGAGCAGATTGTTATAGGAATATCCATTTTAGAGTAAATCTTGGGTATTGTTCAGGTGCTGGTGTTGTTCTTGGACAGATACTCACACACCCATCCACTCTCACTCACCTACCCACTCTCACTCACCTACCCACTCTCACTCACCTACCCACTCTCACTCACCCACTCTCACTCACTCACTCACCCACTCTCACTCACTCACTCACCCACTCTCACTCACTCTCTCTTTCTCGCTCTCTCACTCTCTCTCTTTCTCGCTCTCTCACTCTCTCCTCTCGCTCTCTCACTCTCTCTTTCCTCTCGCTCTCTCTTTCTCGCTCTCTCACACTCTCTTTCCTCTCGCTCTCTCTTTGTCGCTCTCTCATTCTCGCTCTCTCACTCTCTCTTTCCTCTCGCTCTCTCTTTCTCGCTCTCTCACAGTCTCTTTCCTCTCGCTCTCTCTTTGTCGCTCTCTCATTCTCGCTCTCTCACTCTCTCTTTTTCTCACTCACTCACTCACTCTCTCTCACTCACTCACTCACTCTCTTTCCCACTCACTCACTCACTCACTCTCTTTCCCACTCACTCACTCACTCACTCTCTCTCTTTCCCACTCACTCACTCTCTCTCTTTCCCACTCACTCACTCTCTCTTTCCCACTCACTCACTCACTCTCTCACTTTCCCACTCACTCACTCAGTCTCTCTCCTTCCCACTCACTCACTCTCTCTCTCTTTCTCACTCACTCTCTCTCTCTCTTTCCCACTCACTCACTCACTCTCTCTCTTTCCTTCCCACTCACTCACTCACTCTCTCTCTTTCCCACTCACTCACTCACTCACTCTCTCTCTCACTCACAAACACACACACACACACACACTCACACACACGCGCGCTCTTGGTACATCGCTCGCTGCCTCCAGCGAGAAGGCTCCGCAGGGCGTCCTAATTGGCGCACCTGCCGTTCCAGGGCGCAGCGCCCGCCGCCATCCGCCGCCGCCGCCGCCGCCGTGGGCGTGCGTGGCTACCGGCGCTTCCACGCCAACGACTCGCTCGTGGGCCGCGCCGTGCCCTGCTCGCGCGACGAGAAGCTCTGCCTGCGCCGCAACCTCCTCTTCCACCCGCCGTCTGGCAAGTGCTTCGGCCTGGTGGGCCCCGCGCCCGCGCCCTGTGACTTGGCCGTCGACGGGGCCGAGCTGGAAAGCGGGTGAGCCAATGCAGACGGTTGCAATTGCTCGTTATGCCAGCAGGTGCTGTGGATATCTAGACATGGCTCTACCATAGAAACTTCTGCGATAGAGTGGGTGGGTAGATAAACTAGACCGGCTGCGGTTACCGTGCAGCCGAAATGATCGGTCGTTGGCTACCGGACGACTGCGATCGAAATTGTTCCTTTTATTTCGTTTGAAAGCACCCGGTGTTCCACCTGAAATCGCTTGAATATTCTCACAATTCTACAGATACGTTTTGAATCATTTCTGAGAAACATGTTCAAGACTATCTACACGTATTGCATATGGTTTGACTCTCCAGTTACGTAATTTCAGGCGAATGCAACCGTCATATATAAAAAAATCTGCATTCAACAACCAATGTTTTTAAACGCCATGGGAAGAGGTTGTTCGCTTTCAATATGACTATTTGCGTTTATCAGCACGTGTTTGAGCAAATCCGAGACATCGGAATAAATCGTCCGACGTCGATCGACCGAAATTTCGGTCCAAATCTGCTCCTATGTGACCGCCACGTTAGGGTTCGGTCAGAGTGGATCCGTGTTCATACCAATTCGCGTTCGGGGGAACTGGACTACAAATAAAATCTCTTATAACGGTTTTTGGAAATGTGCGTTTTTTCTCACATATTTATAAATTTATAGTATTTTCCAAAACATTCCGTATATTTCGATTCAGGGAGTAGAAAATGACGCAGCGATTTATTTCTTCGCAAAACTAAATTAATATCAGTTAAGTACAGTTGTAGAATAACATTTGAAGCATCGCAAGTCATTCGTATATTACTGGTAATTTTGAAAAGAAGAAATAGTGTTCAAATGTGAAATAAATGTTAGCTGATACAGTTTTTTATTGTCATATTGTATTCCAGCCAATTTCATTTTTACTAAAGACATTACATATCGAATTCTATTTAATAGTGAATGTGGAAGTGTGAAATAAATAGTGGATAATAAATATTTTTTATCATATTGAGACAGCGAACACTAATCACAACGACAAAGGTCTATTTAATTCATTATTTATAGTCGGTTTATGTTCATTATTAGTATCGCCACGTAAAATAAGACACCAATTCAATTCAATTCAATTCATTATTTGGGCGTGTTCCAAGCTCCGGCCACGTCGTGGGCATCTGCCTCCCCAGTCGCCGCGGAGACTGCGTGGGCTTCCGCATGGCGTTCGACGGGAAGTGCTACAGGGAGGAGCTGGTCCACGACGTCATCTGCGGCTGCCAGGACCCGCCCGTGCCGCACCCGCTGGCCGGGTTCGAGTGCCGCTGCGCGCCCCACCGGCCCGCGACGCGGGTGACTCAGCCCCAGCAGGACGGCCGCTGCCTCATTCCTGACCTCCATGCGCCCTACGCTGACGACCACGCGCTCACCGCCGTGTACCCCGTGGCGGGCGCCTACCCTCTGCGCTGTTCGAACAGCCACTGTTACGTCGCGCCCGACAGACCCCGTGCCGAATGCTCCGGCGCCCAGAGGCGCTGTTTCAAGAAGGGCATGGTTTGGGTGGCTGCCAGGAATCGCTGTTTCCGGCTCCTCGAACCAGGCCCATGCGAGAGGAATTACATTTTGGTGCTGTCCAAGAACGAAACGCTGGGGAATATTGCCTTTTGTAGGCACATACGTGGCGACTGCCCACCTGGAAAGATTCACATGGCTTTTGACCAACGCTGTCACGATGAGCGCGAAATGAAAATGATCGCACCGTCTGATCTGCAAAGGAATGTCTTCGGGGATTACATGCTTCCCATGTTGCTGGAAGTTCTGTATGCTCCTGTCGTTTATCGCAACCATTGCGCCATACGAATTGAAACAATTCCGATCATTATAGGTCGGACTAGTGGGCTTCCGGAACCCCCTTGTGGTCACAATAATATAGGTGACTGTATAGTTGAGGTCTATGCTGAACCTCCCTTACCACTAGATGATTTGTAACTGAATATTGCCATATCTTTCTTTTTTGAGAACAATCATTCTCTATATATCTTTATTTAAATTTAAATAGTACACTGTAAGGAAAATATTAAAGATAAACCTCTAGCAGTTGCCATTTGCATTTCTTTATAATACAGCGAATCTAAATCCGGAATTTCTTGGGTGAAACCCACTATCAATTAATTACATTACATATTTAATTCTCTGTTATCTTACTGTGGTTTCCTGGCTTTGTCAATAGACAACGTTGACTCAATAAAAGCTATTTTCCATATAGATTCTGAATACTATTTCACCTTCTCCAATTCTTTTTCAACAACAGTATCTGTGAACACAAGGACCCAAACCTTACGTTACGAAACTTTTTCGAAAATAGCGTTTCCTGAAATTTATAGGGCTACATCACAGATTTTCAAACATTTTGAAGGTCGTAAATCCCATATTTGTCAAAAGGCAAATGAAGCTATATAATGAAATAACCCTAAATGACGGGTTTTAATAGGTTGTTTAATTCATGTAGTTTACAAAGGTCGCTAAATTTCAATATATTGAAAAACTTTGAAAACGACGAACGTTAGGAGCAGAATTGTTAATTTATGCAAATGAAATAGAGCAACATTACAAATGTATTGCAAACACCATTATTATAACTTTATTATAAATTTGTTAAGAAAAAAGAAATTTTTATTTGTTCACATATGTGACTTTGATGTTTACGTGATCATATGTTCAGTTCACTTTGATGTTGAACATATTATTGCTACACATAGTTGTATGTGTGGAGCTTTGGATAGAATACAAATAAATGGAACATAAAAGCTTTTATATAGCAAATACATATTTTTTATTGCACAAAATATTGTTTTTCAGAAAACAAAATCTCAATTGGTAAGAAACAAAAGTTACAAATGCATAATAAAAGTAAACGCAAAAAGGTGCGGAACTCTTACAATTCCAACAAACAAATTTGTAACTAAAAATATTTTAAAATTAAAATACTGATTGCAAGTCACTTAAATAATAAAATAAAATAATAAATGTTATTCAAAATTCTGTGCGCTAGCGCAAATGCAAAAGTTAAAAAAATTCTGTCGTTTTTGAGTTTCCAGCAAAAAGTACTTCGTGATGTCTTAGAATGAATGTAAGAAACTTCTACAGATGTCTAGAGGTAGAAGATGCTCACTTTTAGATTCCACCTGTACAGATACAGGAGTTAGGCAAAGAAGCCATCGTTAAGGTTGAGGGGGGTCTTAATGCGTACGTTTTGAGCGCATATAGAGTTCTGTTTTAAAAAAATATCATTAACAGTTTCTGAGAAGAAAAAGACCTCGATAAACGTTTTCTGAAGGCAGGGGGTTCAGAATTTTGTGGCTGTCTGTGTCGGTCACTGCCCTACCTTACCCGACCCTACCACGTTCTCCCTCCTTTGTTCACGTCCTTCGAAATTGCTTCTGACGTCGCCGTGTAAGGGGAGAAAAAAAGCTCAACACACGCACGCACACATGCTCTCACACTCTCCCACACAATACGTCTAGATAGCTGCCGGTGTACGCTCGTTTCTCCGCAAAGAAAGGCGAAACGACGGCGTGGAAGAAAAAAAAAGAAGAACGGCCTGTGGGCGCCGACGGGAAAGCGAGGGAGGGTTGATATTAACGAGCGGCTTTTTCGGGCAGTCGAGAGCGGAGCATCGATTCTTCATTTCGTCGAGACGTCGGGACGCGAAAACACTCGACCCTCATAAAGCGAGGAGGCGACTGATTCACGACTCGCAGGGTCGCCTTGGCGAAGATTTTTGCTTCATATTCTAGTATTCGCGGAAATTTATTCTCAATAGGAGCCTGCTTTTCTGCCTTCTGCAGCGTACGGATTTCGTGGAGTTATTCAAATTGTAAGTTACATCCCGACCGATATTTTGGATTGTGAATGAATCAATTTCATTCCCTGGTGGGTTACGCTGTTCGTCAGGTGACTATTGCAGTAGAGACTTGCCTTCCCACTCTGGGGCCCATTTTTCATGGCCCTCCCTATTTTTGTGGAATTGGTGGACGTTAAAGTGAGCTGTCGGCAGGTTTTCTCAGGGATCTTACGTTTAACCAGTTTTTCATTCTGCCATTTTCGTAATCATTCACCTCATCACAATTATCGATTTCATCTGCTTATCAGAGTTTCATTCTGGTGTCTCAAAGACTAGTAGTTGTAGGGAGACTAAACTAACTCAATTGAATGCAACAAAGATTTTCGTTCGGAAGTAAATTTGAGCTAAACTAAAACAAATTTGATTTTTTTTCTTTAAAAGAAAGGTAGTGGTTCTTGATGTGCTGTCACTTGCTCTATTAATCAGTTTTGTAGTATAATCACTAAATTGTAATTAAATGTTAAAATTAATTGGATGAACCCTCGTTAACTCTCATTTTCTCATTAAGTCGTTTTCAAGCCTAAATACAATACTGAATTGGTCCTGGTCGTTTTGCGAGTTCTATTTAACGAAAGTAGTTGAAGTTCGTCATTACCCAGCAAGCTTTCCAGTGTGAAGTTGTTAATGATCCACGAATGTCCTTGCATCACGAGGTTGTAATTGGCGAACCTAATTTTTTTGAAACTCAAAGAATGACTGTTTTTAAACATGAAGACTATATAAAAGCATTGTCGGGCGATAGACTTCCTTTACAAAAAATGTTCAGTTATTTTAAGATTTAAGTTAAGGTGATTAACAGAATATCCTACAATAGTTCACAGGGTCAATATGTATGTACAGATCTCGGTAAATATAGAGCATATCAATTACAATTTCAGAAACATGTTTTTCTATATGTTTATAGTGAATGTATTGTTTCAGAATTTGTAAAACTCCTTTGTCTCATCAGGAATAATGAGCAGTACAGCCCGATATAGAACCACATTTTGAGTTTTTTGATTTTCCCTTTAGTGCATATGCAGTTATTTTTCTTTCGCAATAGGAGATATTAATTGTAACTGTCAGGTTTAAGTTAGTAATAATAATAATATAATACTAATACAATATAAGAATAATAATGATACTAACAATAATTGTGGATCTAGTAGTGGATTACCGAAAAAGTCATTGGCCGATATATCACCCGAGGGACTCCAACCCGGGAGGCTTAGTTCATGCTCCTATTGTTGGAGGGTCTCTGTTGTGTTCTCCGCTCGCAATTAACAGCAACGCTCTATATCTGTTGTGACACCTTTCTTGCCAAGATTAATTTTTCCGAGAATAATCCAGTGATATCCAAGATTTTTTCAGTGTGCAGTAGATGCGATACGGCATGGTGTACATTTTCGCGCCTCAAAAAATCCTCAGACCTCGATCGTGTTTGCACTCGTGAGAGCTCATGAAGCCGCCAAGCTACCAAGGCAGTTGTTCTTCAGGCGCGCTTCAGGCGTGATTTTCGCGCCCGCCGTCAGCTGCTGCATCGTGAGTTTCAAATTTGCCTGAGTTACAATTCGGTTTTCATTTAGGTTAAAATTATATATCTTCTAAACTATTAAAGGAAAATTTCAGAAAAAAATATATATTGATGAAAGTTTTTTTTCTTCATTTCGTTTATGGATATGACCACAAATAACCTAAAAAATACATTAACCTAAAAAATAAACGAACCATATCTTTCCGCAAGCGATGTAGTTCACAGAAAATAACAATACAAAAAAGGTTTTCGTCTAGGTTAAAATGTTATATCTTCTAAACTTTTTAAGGAAAATTTCAGAAAAAAATATATATTGATGAAAGTATGTTTTTCTTCATTTAGTTTATTGATATGACCACAAATAATATGCACATTAAACTAAAAAATAAACGAACCATATCTTTCCGGGGGCGGTGTAATTCACAGAAAATAACAATACAAAAAAGGTTTCCAGGGCAAATTTTGCAACAATAGATGTTTATTCTGTGTTGTTGTTATAGCACACTACTCACTTTCTTAAACAGACTTCTGGTTTTAGTCCCCGATTTTACGTCTTGATAATTTATTTTGTCAATCCCATCGAAGTAGTACTACACAAAATTCTTCGTCAGCAACCACAATATCGTTCATAAAAAAGCAACAGTTGTGAAAATCGAAATACAAGAAGCTAAGATACTGCATTGAACTTCTAGCTAGCGATCACTTCTCGAAATATCTCGAGTAACCCCGGCGACACATTCAGAAGCATGAATGGCATATGCCGTCGTACACGTTAGAGAGTGACTTTGTGAAGGACCGCATATGGTGTCGTACACGCCTGAGGGGCTAGCTAACGCAGTGCAGCCGCGCGTCACAGTCTCTGCGGATGGCGGGATAGCGACGCTGCTGAGGGCATGTGTGTTGGAGAGTAATGGTAGCGAGTGCCTTGCACTGGCTGGATGGGTGAAGAAAGCAACGCGGAGTATCTACATCCATTTATTTAGTACGTCTTCTATGCCCTGTACCAATCTTGTGCTTGACGTTTAGGAATCACGTGGTGAATCACGTCGTGACCTACCCACAAGCAAAAGCATCGGCTTTCATGACCTATTCTATCTTGGTCGCCACTTCGGTGTAAACAAAGGAAGAAAAGAATATTGTGAAACACGATCGCACAACCAGAGAGCACTTTGAAAAGTAGTAGCACTCGAGAACGTTGCCTTTCGTTAGGCAGACAAAGATGATAAGACTCGACATATAGTGATAACATCTAGTGGGACCAGATGAATTGCCTTAGGGCTTTAACTAATATTACTGCAGTTCTTCTTATCGGGAGGTTCTAGGGTTTGAGTCCCGAAGGTGGCAGGATTTTTCTTACTAGCTAGATAGCTTGGTCGTCCTACCGCGCGCAGTCTGTATGAGAAGCCTAGCGTCCGGCAGTTCTGAACAATAGTTTTCCGTGAAACACTAAGAGGAGGAAACGTTTCGGTATACCGCACATTAGCATTAGTTTTTATTTCTGAATGGGTCTGTGTAGATTTCCCACGAAATATCTGTGCACTCGACTACGACTTCAGCGTTGGCTTAGAGTGCTTAGATGTGCTGTAAAACCGTGCGTGGAAACATACAAGAACGAGTACAAGCATTAAAGTTAACGTTTCATGTTATTTGTGATAACCTTATCTACGATGGGGAGAACTGGAATTTCATTCACACGAAAATTAGCAATAAATTTAACTTTGAAAATTACACAATTTCCATTGTTACAGTTGAAAAGGAATGTATCAACATTACGATACATTCTTTCTATACTGTAAAAGTAACATAAACAATCATAAATAATCATGTATATAGCCGTTAAATAAAGTAGTTTTCTCCCTTATAGCCGTAGATTCACAGAAGTTTTTTTATGAAATATAAACTATAATAACTTATTCCTTTTTCTGCAAAAATTGTGGTTTTGTTAGTTATATCCTCATTCCGGAAAACCCTTCAATTTTGTTTTTAACATACTTAATGATAATTTGTTTCGACGAACAATTTTCCGTGAATGCAAATAAAGCTATGTGGCTACT